TGTGATACATTGTGATGTAGTGTAATACATTGTGATGCATTGTGATACATTGTGATGCGTTGTGATACATTGTGATGTAGTGTGATACATTTTGATGCATTGTGATGTGTTTTGATGCATTGTGATGCATTGCGATACATTGTGATGCATTGTGATACATTGTGATGTAGTGTGATACATTGTGAAGCATTGTGATGCAATGTGATGCATTGTGATGCGTTGCGATACATTGTGATGCACTGTGATGTAGTGTGATGTAGTGTGATGTATTGTGATGTAGTGTGATACATTGTTATTCATTGTGATAGATTGTGATGTAGTGTGATACATTGTGATGTAGTGGGATGCATTGTGATACATAATGATGCATTGGGATACATTGTGATTCATTGTGATGTAGTGTGATGCATTGTGATGCATTGCGATACATTGTGATGCATTGTGATACATTGTGATGCATTGTGATACATTGTAATGCGTTGTGATACATTGTGATGCAGTGTGATACATTTTGATGCATTGTGTGTGTTTTGATGCATTGTGATGCATTGCGATACATTGTGATGCATTGTGATACATTGTGATGTAGTGTGATACATTGTGAAGCATTGTGATACAATGTGATGCATTGTGATGCGTTGCGATACATTGTGATGCACTGTGATGTAGTGTGATGAAGTGTGATGTATTGTGATGTAGTGTGATACATTGTGATTCATTGTGATAGATTGTGATGTAGTGTGATACATTGTGATGTAGTGTGATGCATTGTGATACATAATGATGCATTGGGATACATTGTGATGCATTGTGATGTAGTGTGATGCATTGTGATGCATTGCGATACATTGTGATGCATTGTGATACATTGTGATGTAGTGTAATACATTGTGATGCATTGTGATACATTGTGATGCGTTGTGATACATTGTGATGCAGTGTGATACATTTTGATGCATTGTGATGTGTTTTGATGCATTGTAATGCATTGCGATACATTGTGATGCATTGTGATACATTGTGATGTAGTGTGATACATTGTGAAGCATTGTGATGCAATGTGATGCATTGTGATGCGTTGCGATACATTGTGATGCACTCTGATGTAGTGTGATGAAGTGTGATGTATTGTGATGTAGTATGATACATTGTGATGTAGTGTGATAGATTGTGATGTAGTGTGATACATTGTGATATAGTGTGATACATTGTGATGCATTGTGATGCACGGTTCTGTAATTTAATGGAGTGCCATCAAGATAACAAACGATGAAGAACGCTGTAGTGTGGCGTTACGTAATGCATCACAAACGTTTATACTGTTTAGCCCAAAAATATATCGTGCATACTATTCTCACCCGAGTGAAAAAAATAAATTGGACTCTGTCAAATGAATTGGTCTTGGAGAATCTGAGCAAAATAAATACATACAAAAAGCTAATGACATGAAAACAACCCAGTGACATTAGATGATGCTCAAAGAACAAAATTGGTTGATGGGCATATTAAACTTTTGGCTGAGGAGATAACAGTCGTTTTGATAAATTAATTTTGCAATTAATAGCAGAGGTAGCATTAAGTAATTTTAATAAATTAGAATAGTCCTTTGATTGGGGAGACTTTGATCTTTGGAAATCTACATAATTCAAGGTATTCGGATAAAGGAAGTTTATATTGCCTTAACATTGGATTTATTTCTAATAGTGTTATGTTGAGTAAAACTCTTTGTTTTGAGCATGTATTTTTTGTACAAACATGGTTGCAGTGATTACCAGATGGAAAATTATTTCTTATTGCAAACTTGTTTTTCTTTTGGCATGAAATTTGACTTGAACGTCATCCGGCATGAAAATCTTTTTTGTATTGTGGTTGTGTGGAATGTATCAGTTGAACTGTTTCATAAGGCAATGAAAGAATTAAGGAAGAAATGATTTAATAATAATGAACTATATTTAATGGTGGTATGAAGTTTAAAGTTTGTGTGAAATTGGAAATTTTCACAATTACTAAATGCTGTGAAAAGTGATTGTAAAATTCTTTTGGTTCCAGGAAGATTAATCACTGAAGAGATGATTGTTGTTGCTGTTGTTGTTGTTGATATTTTATGACAATATTTATACTTCACTGCCTTAATCACAGATGTAATGCAGACATATATGTCATATAATTTAGGATATGTAGTATAGTGTTTGGACAACAAAAGATTCTGTTTAATTCTCCATCAGTAATGATGATCATTACAATAGCATTGATGGTATAGCATTACATTTATAGCAATAATACTTATCATAGCAATACCAACAACAACAGAAACTATGTATAGTAAATAAAAAATATAGCAATAATAATAAAAATAAATGTCATCTCCTGCCATTTGTTAAAGTCATACTGTTGTAAACTATACATAGCTTTTTGCAGTACTTATGCATAATGTGACCATTATCAATTATTTTATTTTTCTTTTAGTTCAGTTACTTGGAGTATCTTGGTTGCCAGGCCAGCTGCTTACTGGTGAATGGAAAAAAGAACTTTATGTCCTTGGTTTATCAGGAGGAAAAAGATTTGTTCACAATGAACCAGCAGTTTTGTGCAAGTTTCAAGCAATGTTTGGTAAAAAGTAAAAAATTTGCAAAATCACATATGCGCAGTGGGCATAACGTTTAACTTCTATTGATATGTCTGCACCAGTTTCATGGATACCAGTTACTGGATGGTAGTCAAGTAGATACATATGACTAAGTTTCAGAGCTTTACTACAATATTGTGTTACGTATGGTTGCAAAATGTTCATCCCATCTCAAAATAGCATATTTCTAATGGTAAATATTAAGGTGTTTTTTTGTATCCGATAAAGTGGTGCACGTATATAATATCATAAAACCATTTGCTACACTGTGTTTCACGCCTTTTGGCAATCATCAGGTGAATGAAAGTTTAGTTGATATTTTATTTTACTTTTATGAATTTATATTTTGCTCTATCTATGAAGATATTGAGCACGCCTTTATAACAAAAATTCAAAGACTATAATTTTATATTGATAAGCCTGCTTCGTGATTTCTCACTCTTCATTAAATTCTCTAAAGAGAGTGAAAAATCATGAAGCAAGCTTTTTGGGATAAAATTGTGGTTTGTAGAGCTAACAAAAATTTTGTATGCTATATTTGGTAGATGTAAACCGAGAAAAACAGAAATGGACTCATGAGGATGTAAGAATGCTCTTCAACAAGAAGTATAGTAAGTTATTTTTTTATTTATTCTTGTACGCAGGTCTTCACCATTGAGTGTGACGTGACCATACAGGTGTAATTTTTACCATCACAGGCCTGGATAAAGTATTTCACAATATGGCTGCAAGTTTGAAAAAATATTTTTTCAATAAATTTTTCATTAAATACTTTTGAAAAAAGTATATTGTTGTTAATAACAGTTATGTACAAAGGCTGCCTGTATATTCCTGAATGGTAGTGTTTCCCTTACAGTGATAGTGTAAAAGTACCTTTTGATATACCTGCATAAAGAAATCTTCTCTGTTTTTTAATTAAAAGTTTATGGAAGATACAAAATTTTTTCCTGTGAGTAATTTTGTAAAAATTACTCTTTTTACAGTCATGTTGTTAATCATTATGATTGTTAGTTCCGTTCTTGTCAGTGAGCATTTTTCTTAAAGGTGAAGCAAAATGTGGGACTGGTTCTCGCGTTCCATATCTTTCTGAAGGTTTTCATATTGAAGGACTACCAGATGACTTTCGCCTAAAGAAGCCACTACAGTATGGCTCAGAGGAAATACAGAAATTCATGGACTGACAGGACAGTAGTTCCTTCATTCTTAAAACGTCAGAAGGTGCACCTTTGCAAGATTTTGGTGAAGACTGCAAAGAATTGCTTAGTAATGTATTCGGAAAATGTGACTTTAAAGTATCAAAATAAGATGTGGAGGTATTGGATATTAATGAGACACATAGCATTTCTGAATTCGAAGAAATAATATCAACACACTGGAAAGTGTTATGTCCAAAAGCTTTGACAGAGTTAAAAAAAAATTGAATGGATATGTGTCTCAGGCAAATCATTTTATTTTGCCTGTGTACAGTGATGATGAGGAAAGTCAGTTCAGGCTTTTTTCATTTTCATCCTGTCAATTTACCTGTCAAGAGGTAAATTGACAGGATGTTGGCTAAATCATGAGTCAGGCAATACCTTCCATCTAGTTAAAAAAAAGGAAACAATCTTTGGAAAAAACATTGTTAAGGACAATGGCAATGTAAGTTTTGAGACTCATAGGTTAACTAATTATACCCAAACATTCATATTGAACAAGTCCTTTGAAAGGAAAGTTACTCAAATTTTATCACAACAGGGATATATATAATTTTCATGTCACACCAATGAAAAAAATTCATTGTTTACAATGGTAACAGGCAGCACTGCAAAATGTGCATTGTAATCAACTCAGTTTTCAATTTTAGTTGGATTGAATATGGTTTTTTAAAAGGTAATATTTTTCTATTCACATATAAGCCATGCAGAATGTCTAAATCTATAATTAAATTTTCGAAGATTAAAGCCCAAAAGAAAAACTACATTTTATACAAAAATAATTTTTTTGAGGAGGGTGGTGTTCTACCTTTCACCTACACAAAGACATGCACAATTCACTGAATAGGCAAATAAGATGTCATATTTGTTAAAATAACTGTAATAATTGAGATACTTCTGCATTAGTAAAAAATAAATATGTTTGTGCAATATGTTTTAAACGTCTTGATATTGACAATGCATTGCAACCAGAAGAAATAGCTTTGGACAATTTAGTTAATTTCTCTTGCTGGCGTAATGCACATGTTTCTTTTATTGCAGGGAGAGTAGTTACTTTATGTAGCAAGACGTCAAAGTCTAAGCAGTCATGCTGACTTAAATTGTTGTCAATACTTGCACATAAAGCTTTGACTTCATTAAGATTCAGAAATATTGGCACCTAAACTTTTTTCTTTTCTTTCTTTTTCACAACAATAATGTTTTCAACTCCAAGACCTCTATAAGCAAATCCACAAGAATTCAACAGCTCTATGCCTTCCCATATCTTAATGAAAAATGATATCCACTCGGCAAAAGTGATTCCATGAGTGTAGCACAATCCTTCAAAGGACATGTACACTCCAGTTCCTACATGACCATAAAATTTTGTTATTAAAATGAATGGCTTTTCATCTTGACAAATACCAATTAAGATTGGAAAACATGGATGAGATGGTAAGCTAAGAATAGTTCTTGCTTCCTCTATGACATCAAACTCAGATTTCCTCAATGCAACTGCCATTCCTCTAAACCAACATAACTCAATGCTATCAAAATTACCTTTTGGGAATGAATATGTAGGCTTCATTTGGGAATGAATATGTAGGCTTCATTTGGGAATGAATATGTAGGGTCTTTGATGAGGAACGTAGCAATTCCGACCGATTGATACTCATGCAATGAGGTAATCCACATAGCATTTTATTCTCAGTTGAGCAATCTATGAAATGAGACAAGAAAATAAAGTTTTCTCTATGTCCAAGGTAGTTCTTCTCAAGATGGAAAATCACCCCCTTCTCCATCAAAAACAAGGTTCTCAATATTATATACAACTAACACCAAAAATTAAGCCATTCCTCAACTTATTATTATCGTGTGCCTCTGAAATTTATGTTAATTAGCGACTGCGCTAGCTATTTTAAACCATACCATTTTCCGTATGACATTGTTTAACACATTCAATGGCGTCGATGTGGCTAATGCCAGAATAAAAGTAGACATGATTGCTATGAATTCGCTTCACCATAGGAAAACACTTTCGTACAATGAGCCCACATTCTCGAACAGATATACTCTTATATTTATTTCTCAACACTTTTAGAACATCTGAGCATTTTACGCGACATAAGGAATCTTGATGAAACAGAGTTGACAACCTATAATATAGTCATATATAACGATTAAGGACACCAGCGACTGCGTTCACGGATTACCAGTTGACAAAAAAAACACAAGTGGAGACATTTTCACCAATATGCACGAGCTTCTCGAAAGTGAGACGGCTTATTTTTTCTTCTTGATGCATCTTTTTTCGGCATTGCGTCAAATCAAATGACATAAATGGGCTTTAATATGGACGGGCAGTACAGTACATAAGAGTATGCAACATATATAATGTCCATTGTTCATTTATAAAATAAAAACAATAGTACCCGCTCGGTGATTGGTCTATAGCCAAGTTTGCATTAGCAAGAATTTGCATATCGATGTAAATTTGTCTGTTTCCAATTATTGTTTCGTATCACTGTATACAAGAGGTAAAAACTGTTTTTCGTGTTTGCACCATTGCACTGGCTTATGCAAACCTTGAAGCCGTTTGTGAGAACTCGAGCAAATGCAAACGTGCAACCCAAGACCTTCGGTCTCCTGCTTGCACATATATGCTCTCAAGTTTTTCCAAAGGTCTCATTGGTTTGCATAAGCCAAATTGTATTTTTCAGATGATGTATAGGCATATGTGACGTAAAGATCTAATAAATGCCGTATATTAATTTAACATCTTATACATATTAAACGCCCCCCTTCTTGCAACGCCACTTACTAATAAAGTCCCGTCCTCAATAGACATTCACCACCTTAACAACATTACCATTATGATATATTAATTATAGTGGGTTCACAATTTGGCTTATAAGAAGTTTAGTTTGTCTTAGTTTTGTTTTATTTGTTCAAGCAAACAACTAATATACACGTCTCTCTTTTCATTTCGTTGCACCACAACATCTAGAATTGATTAAACGCCCTGGCCATTGATAAATTCATTTACGGTACCAACAAACACTCAAAGTAAAGCAACACATATATTATAAATGAATTCCACTTTGAACATTTCGAAATTTGAATTCCGCTGCGTCGACATTTTCACTTTACGGTGCTTTTTGTGAAATAAACAGCACCGCATAATCCAATATCATCGAGCGTATGTGATTGTTGAAGGCTGACGACTCTACCATGTTAGCGAGTACCATCTGTGTCATGGTCGAAAAGTCGGCGACAAATCTGACTCACCATTGCCTATGGCGATGGAAGGATGGTCAGACATCCTGACAATACAAAAACAACAACTGTCTAAAAAGCCACAGGCACTATGGAGTCTTGTGACCATCTGACACCTGCTTTCAGCAAACCCCCACTGCCTTGTGGGAAAGGTCTTTGCTAAGACTAAAGGCTAAAGGAAGGTGAACCTCAAACAACTCACTACGGAGATGGGACCCCGTAAAGGCAACCATGCTCAGTCAACGACAACTGGATTGGCAGTCCCTGCAGTGGAGTATTGTTGCCAGCACGTCCTGACTTGTTCTTGCCCGCTGGAGAACAGCAGTGCCCCACCGAGAGAGTGTCCTGGTAATGCAAAAGCCAGTGCCACTTAACATTTTGCATGCAGTTCTATGGAAATGAATAAGGAAGCTAGACATGATACCGGCTCGAACGTCGCCCGGGTTACCAAGGTTCGAGCTGGTCCGCTCCCGCTCCGGCGACCAGTGAGAAGTAAGCTAGGACGCAAGGTGGACCGCAAGGAGGACATCAAGAAACATCTGAGACTCGCAGGATGGAACGTGAGGACGCTGCTTGATCGACCTGGATCTAAACGACCGGAAAGGCAAACAGCGCTAGCAGCAAGGGAGTTGTCAAGGTACAGCATCGACGTGTAAGCACTGAGTGAAACCCGGCTGGCTCTAAGTGGCAGCTTGGTTGACCAAGGATACACCTTTTTCTGGAGTGGAAGAGAGGAGAGAGAGAAAAGAGAGGCTGGAGTTGGTTTTGCTATAAGAAACCAAATCGCCCAGAAGTTGGAACAAGAACCGGTAGCTGTAAGCGACAGAATAATCACTCTACGCCTTCCTCTGCAGGGGAGGGTGTGGGCTACTATTGTTAGTGTCTACGCCCCGACCATGACTAACCCTGATGAGATAAAGGAAGATTTCTATCAGAAGTTGAGGGAAACTATCAGAGAAGTGCCCAGCACCGATAAGCTCATTATAGCCGGAGACTTAAATGCCAGAGTTGGAGATGAAGTAGAAAACTGGCCTGGAGTATTGAGACATTATGGCGTGGGCAAGTGCAACACCAATGGAGAACTCCTCCTAGCCTTGTGCTCTGAATATGGTCTGGTGATAACCAACACTGTTTTCAAGCATAAGCACACCCACAAGACGACATGGATGCACCCGAGGTCTAAGCACTGGCACCTTATCGACTACGTGATCACTAGGCAGAGAGACCAGAGGGACATAGTCAACACCAGAGCATTTAGAGGGGCTGATTGCAACACAGATCATAACATGGTGCTGTCCAAAATCGCCTTCTCACAAAGGAAACAAGTCAAGAAAACTGGAGGACAGCACAGGTACAATCTCAACGTGGCCAGACTGAAGTGTGACAGTGTGCGCAAAGACTTTCAGAGAAGTATGACAACATCACTACAGGAGAGCTCAACAGGAGACTCGGATGTTGTAGGGAAGTGGGAGACGTTAAGGGATACAGTATTTAATACAGCAAAAGAAATCCTAGGCAAACCGAAACGCAAGCACCAGGACTGGTTTGACGAAACAGACGAGATGCTAAACAGACTACTAGAGGAGAGGAACCAGGCAAAAGCAAGACAGCTGACTGTAAACACCAGGTCTACCAGGGCAAACCTTGCATCAGCACGCAGCAAACTACGGAAGTACACCCGACAGAAGAAGTCTCAGTGGTGGGAGACTAAAGCAGAGGAACTGCAGCACGCCGCAGCAGAAAACGACATGAAGTCCTTCTATGGAGGTCTTAGAGAAGTATATGGCCCACAAAAGAGAGGTACTGCCAAACTGCTCGCTCTTAATGGAGAGACTGTGTTGACAGACAACAAGAGGATGCTGGAAAGATTTGCTCAGCACTTCGACCAGTTGTTAAATCTGCCTGGAAACGTGGATAGTGCTGCTCTTGCGAGCATCACCCAACGTCCAACAGTCCACGTACTGGATGAGCCCCCAAAGATGGATGAACTTCTGAAGGCGATCGCAGCAACTAAGGAAAGCAAAGCTCCTGGATGTTGTGGGATACCTGCAGAAGTATGGAAGTATGGTGGTACAACACTCAAAGAGAGGTTGCTAGATGTGATCGGAGATATCTGGATAGGAGAGAAGATTCCACAAGATTGGAAAGACGCGAATATAGTCCCTATATTCAAGAAAGGCAGTCGTAAAGAGTGCGGCAACTATCGCGGCATTTTTCTACTCTCAATCGCTGGGAAGGTGATGGCTCGAATACTCCTCAATCGTCTGAACGAAATGATAAGTCCCAGAGTAATTCCTGAGACCCGAGTGGATTTCGGAGTGGGCGGAGTACCATGGATATGATATTCAGCCTACGACAGGTTCAGGAGAAATGCACTGAACAGAACATGCCCCTCTATGCAGTTTTCATAGACTTTACTAAGGCCTTTGACACTGTCCCTAGAGGCGGCTTGTGGGCAGTACTGAAAAGTTTGGCTGTACTGATAAGATTATCAATCTCGTGAAAGCGTTTCACGAAGGAATGCAAGCTAAAGTCACTCGTGGGAGCGACTGCTCTGAGGGATTCGCTGTCTCAACAGGTGTAAAGCAAGGGTGTGTGCTGGCTCCGACACTGTTCTCATTCTACCTGGCTGCCATGCTGGAGGTTGTCTTCGAGGACACAAGGGAAGGTATCTACATCCAGACTAGACATGATGGGAACCTATTCAACGCCTCACACTTCAAAGCTAAGACACGCACAACACGTCAGCTTGTCAGAGATATGCTTTTTGCAGACGACTGTGCTCTGGTTGCTCACAGTGCAGCAGAGATGCAGGCATTGGTGGACAAATTTGCACAAGCTGCCGCTATGTTTAGCCTCAAGATAAACATCAAAAAGACTGAGTGCCTCTACCAGCCAGTAAAGCTTCTACTCCCTCCCCCAAAACCCTGTGCAATCACCATTGACGGACAGCCTCTTGTCCAGACCACAGACTTCAACTACCTGGGTAGTACAATCTCCAGCAATGCTAAGATTGAAAAGGAGCTGAGGAACAGAATGGGAAGGGCGAGTGCAGCGTTCAGTCAACTAAACGATCGGCTATGGCAAAATAAGCATGTCTCGACCAGAGTTAAAGCCAAGGTCTATCAGGCGGTGGTGCTGACAACACTCCTTTATGGAGCAGAGGCATGGACAATCTACAGGCTTCAAGTGAAGAAACTGAGTGCGTATATGATGAGACAACTGCGGGACATTCTGAAGATATCATGGCGGGACAAGATCGCAAATGCTAAGATTCTCCGTCTGACTGACCTGCCACACATGGCTGACATGCTGATTCAAAAGAATTTAAGATGGATCGGTCATGTCCATCGTATGGAGAGATCTCGTTTACCACGCCAGCTATTGTACAGCCAACTAGTAGAAGGGAAACGAAACCAAGGCCGACCTCGACTTAGACTCAAAGATGTCATGAAACGAAATCTAAAGAGGAGAGACATCAACGTGACAACCTGGAAGCAATTGGCTGATAACAGACCGGCCTGGAGAGCTTCAATCCAACCATAGAACAGTCCTCGTCGCTTACGACTGACTGCATGATGATGATGATGATGATGATGTTACACAGAAGGATGCAGTAGCCAGTTGCAAAGTTTTGTTACAGCAAATAATTGACAGTTGCGGCTTGAAATTTTTTTTAACAAATAATGTTTTAAATAAAATATTGATTTTTTTTAGTTAGTGCATTGACCCTTTTACCATAGACCTTATTAGTAGCAGAGTATGTAGCATTATATAATAAAAAAAAACCCAAAAAAACGATCACGTTCCTATTTTAACAACAGAATGTTACTTGAGAATGTGACTGTAGGGAGAGTTGGTATTGCGTGGAGAATATTTGAAGCTCATGGCAAGAATGCGTGATACGTAATACGGCAATGATTACGGTAGGCGTGCAACATGACAAGAGTGTTCGAGCTGTAAAATGGCTTATGTGTTCTGTGAAATGGCAACAGTGCACAGTAACGTAGATTAATAATTTTGAGTTTAATATTATTTCAATCCAAACACCTATTTAGTTTTATTTCTCATTCACCTCTTACAGCGGCAGTGCCATCAAGGGTGCCGAAGCAGACAGCACTCTCTCGTCAGCATCGTTTCGTTAGCTTGAACATCGGTAAAGTTAGTCATCTGTGTGGAGTTAATCTCGAGCAAAATAAGAAACATGGGAAGGCCTATAACGATAAAAAACAAATTGGATGATTTAGGTGATTTGCCTGGACAAGGGAGTGGCAATTTTCTGACCATCTAAACGAGTAAAAGGAATACAAAATTAACATTTACAAGAACGAAAGGCAGATATGGTAACATAGCTTAGGTTACAGGTATACGAAATTTACAGTGCATTACAGTACCTGCATACTTCTTTCTCAATGTTATTAAGAAATGCCTTTCGATGGAAAGTCCATGAAAATCTCCGACAGTATGTTTTCCTTTTCTTTGTATGACTTGCAATGCAACGACGTCAAAACTAGGATGACCAGGTTTCCATCTTTCTTTTACAGAATGCTTTTGTTCAATATCTTTTAAAATCTTTCAAATATTTCTTTGACACATTTATACATACTGGTATAGTTTTTCGACATCTGATGAATTGAGTAATCTTCAGAGATTTTCTCCAGGTTTTCTTCAAAACATCCGAATGATGTAGTACTAAGAATTTAAATAATTTACCAATTGGGCTCAAAAGAAATATTAAAACGTCTATAGGCATGTATTATAGAGAAACAGCCAGTTTAGTACTTTAAAGAACCTACCTAAGTTGTTTAAAATGCAGTAGCTTTTGAACGTACGTCATTTTCCAGATCTCAGTGGTTTCTTTACGTTCTGTATTTAAAAAGTACGTCTTTAAATCCTACAGACTGAATTGTTAAGAATGAAACTATTTCCCATGAATAACATTATATAGCTGGGTTGACTCTTGACATAATTTCTTTCTCTCTGGCCTCCCACTGACTAACAATTTCAGGATCGTACGTCATTAACAAACAAAATAAATACGTATGTAACTATATATGCTACAGGTTTTGTATTTTCCCGTACTATAAAAAAATCTCGTTTTTCAGTAGGGTATTTCGTAAAAACGAGTATGCTATTTTGAAGTACAATCAATACTAATAAATCTTTATCTTTTCATAACAGATTTTAAATTCGATGAAGAAGCCTTTACTAAATAACGACATGTTTTCCTTGGATGCAAATTGAGTTGAGAGTTTGGTTAGGCAAACCCAAATCATAAATACTTTTCGGCCACAGAAAACATAAGAAATTTTTAACCTACCAGAACTACTTCCCAGGTAGTTCTCTAAATAAATCTTTCATTTCTTGTTGCGTTTTAATTTTAAGTTGTAGACATTTTTAAGCTTCGACGTTAACGATTTTACATATTTTATATAATTTAACAAATCATATACAGAAAATTAAAACAATTAAGGCGCAACAAACAAATAAAAACATTTTCATTGTGTCAACGCATAGTTACACATAAAGCAATGACAATATTCAAGCACCTGCATTGCTAAAATTTCTTCGAGATAAGTGAAGAAGCGCATCTGTCAAAAGATGACCCTTCTACTGGCAGACATCTCCTTAGTAATTGCTGAGAACCCACGAAGGTAAGCCCAGAGCATTTTAATAGCTTCAACATCTGTTAGACCAAAACCATCGAGCCTTCTAGGACAGAATTTGACCTGTTTTTTTGAAGACATTAAAAAATAATATTTTACCTACGGGGGCTTTTTATCAAGGAAGAAACCAGAGCAGAAAAGATTGTCTTTCTTCCATCGCTACATCATTACCCAGGGATGTATTTTTCTGGAGAGAGGGGGTGCCCTAGTTTGGATAAGATTCTAGTGGCTGCTTGTTGCTGTAACAAGCAAGACATTTTTCGTTAAATTTTGTTAATCATGTACAATGATTGGAGATATTTGAAATTGTGCTCCATAAACCCCAACTACTATCGCTTCATGGTTTGGTATACATAAATTTTTTAGGGAAACTGCCACTCCTCATCCATCTCCACTAATCAAGGTTGGAGGAGAGCCCATTCCTCCGCTATCCCGCCTCTTAATCCATCCCTGTCATTACCAGGTACAAAGCTTTATTTATTACCTGCCATGAAACCTTGTGTCCATAACAATGAAATATCGTCACCGAAAATGACACTTTTGACGAAATGTCATGCCTCTTGTTTGCCTAGAACGGTACCAATTTATTCAAAGTTTAGTTGGTGAATGAACTTGTCCCACATCATACATGCCAACATTAAAATACCTTTAAATGTGATAATAATACACATCCAATAGCATACATTATTTTTAAATCAACACCAGGACTTTGGTCAGCTTCTTTTAAAATGCTTTGGATTAGGAACAGCGAATACGAAATTCTGAATATGAATAATAAGACACTAAGTATTATTAAAGGGTAATAATGGATCTCGTTAGCACAGAATCGTTTTGTCCTTCTGTCCCTTTATTTCAAAATTGACACAGGAAAAGAAATTATAACCCGACGATTTGTTCTCCATACTACCTCATCAAAGATGAAGAATATTGATAATTACATGCAAACCAAGGCTAAGACACTAACCTTTCCACATATTTAGGGCTGAAAAATCGTCTAGGGTGTGAATGCCGACTGCAACAACTACCAAACACTCCTTTTTCATCAAAAAGTTTATTTTTTCTCATGGAGTGAAGTGCTTCTGTAACTTCTTCTGCTTTAAATATCTGACAACTCTAAAAGAAGTTGGAGCACATTATAGATTACGCATATATAACAATTGTTTTATTACTGTAATAATAAACATGACATTTTACACAATCAAGACATAGACCATGCAAAAACATGATAAATAAGAGGACAAGAAAAAAATTGGCTGTTTGCAATTTTGATTTTAAATCCACGTAGCTATTTACGTATGTAGCAGGGCCCATGGACCTGCATGAAGCCTAGATCCAGTTTTCTCAAGCGCGAAGCCTGCCCAATCTTTTACTCTTACAGTGCAAATTTGTCAGCAAAATTGTTAATAATTTCTTTAGAAAATCAAATCCATTTAATGTTTTTCCAGTGATTGAATACAAAAGCATTTGCAATGTAAAAGTAGAAAAGTGCTGGCTTTGCCATTGCTTTTTCATGGACTACATATAAAGTTTGTTTTCAAATTATTCCTCCCCCTCCTTCCCAGAACACTTTTGAATAGGCTTCAAAGTCCTTCATGATGCAATAATTACCTCTCCTACTTTGTTGTTAGACTTGTTATAATGATCAACAAAATCATCTGCTTCATCTTCTTCAGCAAACTTAAGGCAGCCATTGTTTGGATGGCAAAACTATTCCCTGCCAACTTTTTACGAGTTAGACCAAAGCAAGCATCCCTGAAATAAATAGCCACACCAGTCTAAAGCAAATAAAGCTCTTTAATAAAATAAAATGAATTTTATGGAAAGCATGTAACACTTCATATTTCACAGCAACTTTAAATGTTTTGATAATATATAAGACAAAAAATATATAATTTAAAATAGTTCACTAAGCAAATAGTAGAAAAAAACAAATCAAATACTGACTTGTGGACATAGAGGGCAATTTCTATAATCAATCAGGTCTTTCTGTATGAACTTTAATGATCTGAGTTGGTGTTTAAAATATCTGACAAAAAATATTATGTAATCAAATTCTTAAATGATATATTATATACAGTCAAACCTCCTGTATCAAATGACCCTTTACTAAGCAGATACTGTGTAAAATCCAAAACATAATCTCATATAGATAATAATAATGAAAGTATAATGGTGAAACCTCAATCAAGCTGACATTTTCATTAAGCTGACACTAGTCTGTTGTCCCTTGGTGTGTACTTAAAACAGGATAGACTGTACTACTCTACACATATAATCTAACTATTAGGTCTACAATAACTGTAAATAGACTTTTGTTTTATTACATATAACATACCTGTATTCATCGAATGATCCATTGTTTAACACAATATATATGTTTTTGACCTTAACAAGAACAAAATGAACACCTAGTAAACTTGTGCATTTGTTTCAAGAATAAAATAAGGTTAAATACACAGTGTCATAACAGCAAGGGAATCTTCATGTACAATTTGAATGTGCTCTTACCTTATTTGAGGTAAATCTGCATTATTTATGTTGTTTGTAAATAACAGTGATTCTATAAACTTTTTTGCAAAGTACAACCCATCTATTTCCACTATATGATGGGTAGACTATCACATGAGTACACAATTCAGGTTTAAGAGAAATACATACCAGTCTAGGTAGCATTTCAGGATATTCAACTTTAACAGTGCTGCAAAATTTGTGCAAGAGTACATGGCTCTCAAGAAAGAATTTTTCAGCAAAATCGATGAAGTCAAAGTGAAATGCAATTTTGGGTTTAGAAAATGAGCTTGGCCACAGCTGGAGTTTAATTAGTTTTTTAGCATTAGTTTTTAATACACGACAGAATTCAACAATTTTTAATTGCTGCGGACCTAAATTTTGTATGAGATTAAAAATTGGATTATTTGTTATGCAAATAATTAACATAGAAATTATTGGCCTAAATGAAGCTAATACTTAACAGTATGACTAACATATACACATTTACATGTAGTGAAAGTCAAAATACTGTCATTCCTGTCATTCTTGCCATACTGTACCTTTTCCAACCACACATAATTGTAGTACGTGATTCTGTTGAAGAGCAGTTAGCATGCTCACTGTAACGTAATATACCACCAAAAAAGTAATGGAACAAAAATTTCACAATCAGTCTAAAGAGTACTATTTAAGCATCAGAACATGTATACATTAAATAAGGCACCATGCACAGCATATAGCAGCATATCGTTCTTGAAAATGATCAATAGTTATAACAAAATACTACAGATTAAGTTACTTTAGATTTAAGACATGGTTGTAAAAAATTGTCAGCATTTGATGAATACTAGAGCTTAACAAGCCAAATTCCAAATGTAAAAAGCAAAAATATTAGATCTGAAGAATTGACTTTTGGAAATAATCACCTAGAATTGCCTTCTAATAGACGACTTAATTTGTTTATGTTTTGCTGGAAGGCAAATTTTATAGGGATTCCTCTGTGCCGCCAGAAAGAATTAAAATTACCTTCCATACTTCAACCAAATGGAAAACATTCCTCGTTCGATGAAGGGATTCCCCACACTCAAAACAGTAGAACTGTCCGTTACCGCAATCACGACATCTAATTTCTGCTTTTTTCGCTGGTATCCCGTCTTCTACAAATTTTACACAGAGTTGTCCTGGTAACATGGCACAATTTTTGATGTACGACTTTACTAAATTATCTTGCAAACACTTCCAGGATTCGCTTTCATTCACTCTTCTCCTTTCATATCGAGATCCAGCTCCACGTAAATTATTCGTACCTTCGTTAAGTTTTTCTTGAAAGCCTTCAAATGTATTGATCGTACGAACTGGAGAAATTGTTTTACTCTTTTCGCCATCAATTGGGATATAATGACACATAGAAAGTGAGTTTTACGGTGGAAAAGAATCAGGAAGGACAACATTAGGAGAGAGAGAAATATTTTTCCTACTAAATTTCCTAGCCGTAGAGAATGCCTTCACAGTCAAAGAGTATGGCTTTATAGAACTCAATGGTTTACACTGCGATTACCGCTCCTACTAAGCGCCGTCTTTTCTGTCTGTCCCACACTAAAAATTTCCAGGGATATAGAGTTCAGGAGAGACAAACATAGCCTTTTACATAGCACAGAAAGCTTAGATAGCGCAGAAAGCAATCTAATTTGGCTATCTTCCACATTTTAAAGTTTAGAACTCTGAGTAATATCCATTTAGAATGAGCGAAACGGGTGTTACGAGAGCGAGGCGGACGGTTATTTACATCGGACAATGAAGGGAAGCAACGATTGGGAGCCTGTATTGACGCAGCAAGATCAGAAACCGTCTTGCGAAGTTGATGAAGCTCCCCATATTTGGCAGATGTGTCAACAAAAGGGTCTTTTGCAACGGTCAAAAGGGGGGATGTGGGTTGTTCAAAGTTGTTGACTTCTCTAATTTTATCGGCCACCCTTGCAAGCTTGTTGAGGTCAAGGGTCTCCTGTGTAGGTGCCAGAATAGCCTGAGCATTGGTAGAGAGACGTTGTATAAATAATTGTTTTATGATGGATGGGGGCAATGTTTGGGTACCAAGTTTGTTCCATCTTGCGAAGGAGTTGGGGAGGTTTCCGATCTCTTAGTTTTTCGCCTGTGAGCAGTTGTGAAGTCTCTGTTGCTCAGATGGTGAGGTACGGTGTATCAACTCGCGTTGCAGTTTGTCATATGGATCAAGAGCAGGGGAGTGAAGGGTGATATCGCGAGCCTCCTGAGCAATTTCGGGTTGAAGGGAACCAGCAACGTATGCGTATTTGGATTGTGTGAGGTGATATTGCGTGTCGTAAATTGAGCGATAATTTGAGAAAACCACAGTTCTGGGTCGTTAGGCCAGTATGGTGGAAGTTTGAGGCTGATCATAGAAGTGGTCGGGGTGCCAGGTGAAGAATTTGTCGCTGAAAAGGTGTTGAGTTCATCAGTTGTAGCCATTTCGACAGTCAAGAATGTCTTTCGGGGTCACCAATTTAGCGTTTTATAAGTCTTTCGTATGAGCTCCGAACGTGAGTTTAATGTACTAGAACCCTAATAAATTTTTGTGATTATTTTATTCACTAGCGAAGAAGTTATTTACAACAGTCGTGAGTATTCTATATTTTACAATTTCTTTACAGGCTTTTTATGTATTTGGCTAAACAAGGTGCGGTTATTACTAGGCGGATAAGGTACTTGAAATTTGAGTAGTTTTACGTAATTACAATAATCTGGATGAATAATAAACGCACGTTATGTACGTCACTACAAACCCAATCAATTCTTAGTTTATAGCACTTTATTGAGCATTTAAATGATATTAGTTGTATTTCAACATTAAATGATTTTGCCCCTGTTAATGATTTAGAAAAAACTTTATACTTTTTTCCTAAATACAATAAAAAGACCCAAACCAATTATTAGAAATCCGTGCTTTATCTACCCATGTTATATTCTGTTTGGTGTGTACATATTGTTACATGATAATACACAATCATGTAAATTATAGTTATTATTGTTATATACTTAAATATATTATTAGTGCCCTTTGTAAAATGCCTTACTCATACATGCATGTGTATGTTAACCACAATAAAAGGAAAAGGTTACGTATAGGACGTGGTCAACCTACTGACCACAGACAACGTACAGGATACATGGTTAATCAACTGACCACAGCTTACGCAAAACCGGTTAATCGTACGTCATTGTGCAATCACATATAAGCCGAGAATCGAAAGCTGTAGTTATGTTGGTGCTTAGTAGAAGTCCACATCAGAAGAAAGCTCATGTAAAAGAAAACGAACTATTTACGAAAAGAACCGAAGAATCCAGATATATATCCAATCCATGAACGAAAGAGTCACTGAAAGTCTGAAAGCAGTTGTCTTAGATAAGTTTGAACATTTAAACATTTATATTATAACGTTTATATCAAAATTATTAGTATATTAAATAAATATCTTAAGAATTGACAACAACTTCTCCACAAGGTTTTACTCCTTTTGTTACGAGCAACTGAACCAAAAGCGGCCATTTTATTATTAGTCGGGACGTTCGTAACACATATGCTATCATTCATCTGCCACCTTTTGAGAAAAAATCAATATAATGGGTCTTCAAATTTTTTGTATCAAACCGACGATATACGCTATTAAAATTTTAAGCAAGAATACATAAAATATGCTAGTAGATTACCAATGCTGGGTTGTAATATAAATATAACCATGTAATACCCTTTGAAGTCAATTATACATTACTTCTCATGTGATATATATCTTACGTAGGCAAAGCAAGAAATGTTCTATATCAACAAGCACTTCAAAAGTGAAAAGGCCATGTTTTATCTTCATCATGCTCTTACACTGTTAGTATACTTGTTCGTCCATGACATTTGGGTTTCTATGAGCCGAAACTTTTAACGTTTATTTGTAGCCGTGCACTCGTAATAACGAGCAATAAAGATAATTATTATGTCCATAAATTGTAAACTAAAGGTGTAGCACATATTTCAGGGGAAAATTGTCCAAATAAGGCTAATTTGGTGTAAGATTTTTTATTTACTATACATGTAAAGTACAATTGACTTTAATATTTAGAAAGTTGCTGTTATTATTATAACTATGCAACATTGTGACAATAATAATATTGCTCAATATAAAACTTTCAATATTGCCATTATTACATAATTTTACTAATAATAACGTTTCGTTTTTGTTTAAGACATTATCAGATTGGAATATATAGTGATGACAAACACAACACTGTCATCACAGTACCTTGTGATGTATTGTATAATTAGTATATTGGATTTTAAACTGAAAGCTAAAGATGAAATGTTTTAGTTAATAAAATTATTTCTTTGTGGCCGTATTGAAAGTGTTATTCTCGGTGATTACATTTATACCAATTTTACAACGTCAATTTTTAAAGTCATTATTATTAGGTAAACAAATAATCACTTGGACAATTGTTTTTATGAACTTTTTTATGTGGATTGTATTTCATGTATTTTAGATATTCAATGTTATCTCTTTTACCAGTATCATTTCATCTTGTGACTATAGTTGAATACTCTCATTGCAAGATGAAATGATACTGATGGCAATGTTAATTAACTACCATGTCATATTCTAGTTCTTCCTTACAGGCCATTTTCTCCTGTTGCCCCAAATAAGAATTAGCATTGCAAAACCGCTTTATATTATAATAAAAAACAAAAATCATGATCTGGTTTCAGTAACAACACAAGAAAATTCCTGTTTAGTAGCAAACAAGGATTAGGTTTACAAATTAAAAATGCACTGTGCATTAAAAGTGCTTGTGTTTGACCTTTGTCTTTATTTTTCATCTAACATTTGGTTACAAGAGAGGCAAATCATAATTTGGCTTTGATTTTGACTGCATTTTCATATCTACTATTTGTTACTGGTAAGTGCTAGCATAATACACTTACAATTATAAATTTTCAAAAACTATTACAAACGCCGAATATTGTTAACTGTCGAAATTGACTTTTCGAACGGCATCAATCTTCATTCATGCAACAGAACAGGTTGATCTCTGGATGTTAACTGAAATTAGCAATTCATGGATTTCGCAATTGATGGGTTAACCAAGGAATTTGCCAAAAGGCGCTCGAGTTAAGTAATAGGGGCGGATCTAATGTATGCCAAATCCATCACGCAACTAACGTTTATAGCTGAAAATTTTTTTCAAATTTAATGATTATAATTTTTTGAGATCAATATAAGTTTCCGATTTAGTATCGTTTGAAGAATTTCATTATCACAATTATGTGTTATTGCTAAAAAGTTATAAAAATTTGCTGTTGGTATACAGATAAGTGGATTTCAACTTATCTGTAATTATACACTACTGACTGAGTGATAAGCAGGAAGGCTTGACTGATTAACGGATAAGTTTTTGTCTCGTTCTGACTGGTTTGATACTGCATGTTTTGTAATTATTCAAAAGCTTCTTCACAATTGACATTATGCTTTTTGAAATGGATTGGCAACAAAGTTGCTTCTGTCAAAAAAAATGTCAATCTAATAATTCAGAGTCACCCCTACCCCCATGTAATCCAGACAAGCATCAATCGGCTTTAATCTTCGAAAATTTAATTATAGAATTAGACATTCTGCATGGCTTATATATGAATAGAAAAATATTACCTTTTAAAACACCGTATTCAATGCAACTAAAACTGAAAACTGAGTTGATTAAAATGCACATTTTGCAGTGCTGCCTATTACCATTGTAAACATTGAATTTTTTTCATTGGTGTGAAATTGAAAACTATATATATCCCTGTTGTGATAAAATTTGAGTAACTTTCCTTTCAAAGGACTTGTTCAATATGAAGGTTTGGGTATAATCAGTTAAACTATGAGTCTCAAAACTTACATTGCCATTGTCCTTAATAATATTTTTCCAAAGATTGTTTCCTTTTTTTTAATAAGATGAAAGGTATTGCCTGACTCATGATTTAGCCAACATCCTGTCACTTTACCTCTTGCGCTTATCTGCTGCAGAGCTTGTAGAGATCCCGTAAATGAAAAAAGACAGAACTGACTTTCCTCATCATCACTGTACACAGGCAAAACAAAATGATTTGCCTGAGACACATATGCATTCAATTTTTTTTTAACTCTGTCAAAGCTTTTGGACATAACACTTTCCAGTGTGTTGATATTATTTCTTCGAATTCAGAAATGCTATGTGTCTCATTAATATCCAATACCTCCACATCTTATTTTGATACTTTAAAGTCACATTTTCCGAATACATTACTAAGCAATTCCTTGCAGTCTTCACCAAAATCTTGCAAAGGTGCACCTTCTGACGTTTTAAGAATGAAGGAACTACTGTCCTGTCAGTCCATGAATTTCTGTATTTCCTCTGAGCCATACTGTAGTGGCTTCTTTAGGCGAATGTCATCTGGTAGTCCTTCAACATGAAAACCTTCAGAAAGATATGGAACGCGAGAACCAGTCCCACATTTTGCTTCACCTTTAAGAAAAATGCTCACTGACAAGAACGGAACTAACAATCATAATGATTAACAACATGACTGTAAAAAGAGTAATTTTTACAAAATTACTCACAGGAAAAAAATTTTGTATCTTCCATAAACTTTTAATTAAAAAACAGAGAAGATTTCTTTATGCAGGTATATCAAAAGGTACTTTTACACTATCACTGTAAGGGAAACACTACCATTCAGGAATATACAGGCAGCCTTTGTACATAACTGTTATTAACAACAATATACTTTTTTCAAAAGTATTTAATGAAAAATTTATTGAAAAAATATTTTTTCAAACTTGCAGCCATATTGTGAAATACTTTATCCAGGCCTGTGATGGTAAAAATTACACCTGTATGGTCACGTCACACTCAATGGTGAAGACCTGCGTACAAGAATAAATAAAAAAATAACTTACTATACTTCTTGTTGAAGAGCATTCTTACATCCTCATGAGTCCATTTCTGTTTTTCTCGGTCTACATCTACCAAATATAGCATACAAAATTTTTGTTAGCTCTACAAACCACAATTTTATCCCAAAAAGCTTGCTTCATGATTTTTCACTCTCTTTAGAGAATTTAATGAAGAGTGAAATCACGAAGCAGGCTTGTCAATATAAAATTATAGTTTTTGAATTTTTGTTATAAAGGCGTGCTCAATATCTTCATAGATAGAGCAAAATATAAATTCATAAAAGTAAAATTAAATATCAACTAAACTTTCATTCACCTGATGATTGCCAAAAGGCGTGAAACACAGTGTAGCAAATGGTTTTATGATATTATATACGTACACCACTTTATCGGATACAAAAAAACACCTTAATATTTACCATTAGAAATATGCTATTTTGAGATGGGATGAACATTTTGCAACCATACGTAACACAATATTGTAGTAAAGCTCTGAAACTTAGTCATATGTATCTACTTGACTACCATCCAGTAACTGGTATCCATGAAACTGGTGCAGACATATCAATAGAAGTTAAACGTTATGCCTACTGCGCATATGTGATTTTGCAAATTTTTTACTTTTTACCAAACATTGCTTGAAACTTGCACAAAACTGCTGGTTCATTGTGAACAAATCTTTTTCCTCCTGATAAACCAAGGACATAAAGTTCTTTTTTCTATTCACCAGTAAGCAGCTGGCCTGGCAACCAAGATACTCCAAGTAACTGAACTAAAAGAAAAATAAAATAATTGATAATTGTCACATTATGCATAAGTACTGCAAAAAGCTATGTATAGTTTACAACAATATGGACTTTAACAAATGGCATGAGATGACATTTATTTTATTATTATTGCTATATTTTTTATTTACTATACATAGTTTCTGTTGTTGTTGGTATTGCTATGATAAGTATTATTGCTATAAATGTAATGCTATACCATCAATGCTATTGTAATGATCATCATTACTGATGGAGCATTAAACAGAATCTTTTGTTGTCTAAACACTATTCTACATATTCCAAATTATATGACATATATATCTGCATTACATCTGTGATTAAGGCAGTGAAGTATAAATATTGTCATAAAATATCAACAACAACAACAGCAACAACAATCATCTCTTCAGTGATTAATCTTCCTGGAAACAAAAGAATTTTACAATCACTTTTGACAGCATTTAGTAACTGTGAATATTTTCAATTTCACACAAACTTTAATCTTCATACCACCATTAAATAAAGTTCATTATTATTAAATCATTTCTTCATTAATTCCTTCATTGCCTTATGAAACAGTTCAACTGATACATTCCATACAACCACAATACAAAAAAGGTTTTCATGCCAGATGGCGTTCAAGTCAAATTTCATGCCAAAAGAAAAACAAGTTTGCAATAAGAAATAACTTTCTATCTGGTAATCACTGCAACCATGTTTGCACAAAAAACACATGCTCAAAACAAAGAGTTTTACTCAACATAACACTATTAGAAATGCATCCAATGTTAAGGCACTATAAACTTCCTTTATCCGAATCCATGAATTATGTATATTTCCAAAGACTAAAGTCTCCCCAATCAAAGGACTATTCTAATTTATTATAATTACTTAATGCTACCTCTGCTATTCATTGCAAAATTAATTTATCAAAATGACTGTTACCTCCTCAGCTAAAAGTTTCATATGCTGATCAACCAATTTTGTTCTTTGAGCATCATCTAATGTCACTGTGTTGTTTTTCATGTCATCAGCTTTCTGTATGCATTTTTTTTGCTCAGATTCTCCAAAACCAATCCATTTGACAGAGTCCAATTTATTTTTTTTACTCGGGTGAAACAAGCAGATTGATGCTTGTGATATTGTTGTTTCCAAAGAACTTTCACCTACAATTTCTTTGAAATGGGGTAATCTTAGGTAATTGGGTAATTAATATGGCTGTAAAATCTTGCGTTACTTGAAATGTAATTAAATAGAAGAATAAATCAATCAAGTGCCAAGTTTTTTTCCCTTATATATAATTATAACTAATTATTTGAAGCTTTTTGGTTTATGATCATTGATCATTTAATCATAAGACAATGAATAGCTGGCATATGCATTGTTTTATTTTTGAGGACACTAATATTGATTATTTGTAAAGGTGTTTATTATAACAAGTGATTACGAGTTCTTCTTAAATATGAAGCTTTTTTGACAATTTTCAAGGAACACTAAAGCTGAGCTATTTTACATCGATCATGTGTCCCAAGTCACATGTCGCCCATTTTTTAAATGAAAACCTCATGTAGAGATGTGAAGATGTTTTGACCTGCGGCTTAAACCAGATGTTTTGCCAGAAATTTCCTAGGCCTGTCCATGTAGGAAGAACAGTTTCCCTGTTAATAAGAATTGTGTTCCTAGGCATGGTGATAAGCTTTGAAATTTGAAAAATATTTTTTATGACCAATCACCAAATATTATTTCTGATGATCAATATAACTTTTAAAATAAATTATTTCACATTTAAAGATAACCATGAAACATGAAACATGAACCAATTTGACCATCATCAGCCATGAATTTTGTGAAATATGTACTCGATAATCATCTCATGTAATTATATCAAAAAAGACATGTTGGTTGTATTCTGTCTTTTATGGCCAGTTCACTGGTATTTGCTATAAATCTCCGCTTGCATACACTTACAGAAGGCAGAGAGTTCAGTTTATATAATAACCAACTTCATTGGTCGATAGCTATGGTCTATGAGAGGACATACGCACGGAATTGACGTCACAGAAAATTTTATGTTTATAAAAACAAACAAATGGCGGATATATTTGAAAATTTATCACAATACCTCTCTGTATGGGAAAATAAAGATATTCACAAAGACCTAGCTTAGGCAGTTAAGGTATATGACTAAAAAGAATAGGAAAACCGGGTTTCAAACATTAATCTGTACTTCGTCTTCGACAACAAACCTTCAAGAAAATTGATCAGCCATTGCTTGTTTATTTTGTTGGCCAACCACTCGCCCCTGCGGCTCGTGGCCACTTTTAGTTTTTATCACAATTGACGTCATACTCGAGTATCTATATAACTGCTTAGACAACGGTTAAATGTTATTTGTCTGTTAGGTAATTAATGCCAGGGACGCCGGAACGGCAAAAGGGCAGGAGGGGCAAGCCTTTGTGGAAGGGCACATTAGTGAATTATACTAAAAATAATCTAATAGTGATAAACAGCAAAGAGATGTGCTACATGCAATACACTGTACAGAAAAACATGTCCGCAGTGTTGGTCGATGAATATTAACGATAATATAACTATCAAACGATGTAACGTCACTAATTTACAATTTGCCATGTATTGTATTTTCCAAAATATTTAATTCTTCTTTCATTTCTCTGTGAAAACTCTTTGGCAATTACGTCTATTTCCACCATATCCATGTGTTGCTTTTCACTGTTGGAGAACATAATATCATTCAGATGATTTCCTTCAGTGTTTGACCGCAGCCATGTTTCGAGACGACGCATTACGCTGAATGTGCGTTCGCACGAGGCAGATGAGAGTGGCACTGTGTAGTATAGTATAATTAGTTTGTGGATCTGTGAGCACCTTTTCTTTGCTGACGGCATGGCATTGAATATCTCTGCTATTGTATAAATACGCGTGACTTCTGTTATTTTTTTCTTCTGATCCGCGTTGTAAACCCAAGAATGGTAGGAAGATCATCAAGCTGCATTCTTAGAACATCTTTATCAATCAAAGAATTGCTTAATCCATCTAAAGATACTCCTCTTTCTTTCATTGAGTTAAGTAACAGTTCCTCGATGCATTTGATCTGGAAAAGATCGTCTTATTCAAATCGCGATCCTAGACCTGAGATGATTGCATCAATTGCTTGGTAGTACGAGCTTTGCATTGGTGTTATATTCGCACTGATGTAAACTTTCACGTGTTATTAACATTTCTTCATTATTCATCCATCTTGGAACTTTTCTTAGTCCAGTGTCACAATTCCAGTTCAACATCATCAAACTTTCATCATCTCTCTTCTTCGCTTCTCATCTCATGAAGACGTTGACGAACACGTCTTATTGGAAATAGAGCGTACACAGCTGAAATATCAACCGCTTGGAGCTCTTTAGAAAGCCTCTCGAGTAAAGTCAATAGCTTTCTTGTCGCGTTTAAATTAAAGATGACGATTAAGGAAAACAGTTGTCGCCTTAATATTCCTCTAATCTTTGCTTTTGTGTCTGCCGAAATGCTAGGATCTTCCTGCAATTTTTCAAGGGTTGCATGTAGTTCAGCCAATTTCTCAAAGATGACGTCAGCAGCCTTTACTCTTGTTGTCCATCTCGTTGTAGAAAGACTTTGGAGTCGAAGAACTTTGTAATCGTTTGTTCCTGTTTCGTTTCTAAAATCTGCCTGTATTTCTTCAAACAATAAAATACGGTTTGGATGGGCACCTACGATTGCATACAGGCATTGGCATAAATCCAGTGATGTAGACAATGAATTAGATTGCTTAGCTTCATCCTGTATAATAAGTTCATTGCAGTGACTGAAACAATGAACATAAATTGCGTTTGGTGCAATATCTTCCTTGAGCTTTCTTGCGAGGGATTTCATTCCCGAAGCCCCATCAAAGCCCATAGCTGCCATTTTGGGACCTTCCATGCCACATCTGAGAGCGTAACTGTTTTCATGTTCGTTGAGTTTCTCACAGCCTTTTTCCAGCATAACTGCCAAAACTCCTTTATCTGTGGATAGCCACTCATTGTCTAGCCAATATCGACCATGCTTCACACTACTTTCCTTGTCTTCACTTGTGAAGTCTTTCTCATGTTTTACCCATGTCGTTTTCATGCATATCTTTTCTGTTTCACCAATCAGACTTTTCGATTTGGACCATTTTTTTGTTTCACAGTCTGAGGCTTTTTCAGTATTGACAGTTATTACAGTGTCAATTCCGCTTGTTGAAGCAGAATCAAAATCATGGCCTGTGTTTCCTTTTGCAAGCAGCGATGTTATTTTAGACTGACCAGGTTTAGCCGCTGCTTTCGCTAATGCTTTTGCTGAATCTTTTTTACATCTTTCTGCTTTTGGCATTGTAGAAAAAGCGATAAGATGCAATAAGTATCCCTTTCAAAATCATCAGTGTTTAGGTGACTGAGCCATTTATGCCAGCAGATGTTTGCGCTATCTATTAGAGTTAATTATTTACATGTTATTTATACTATCGGTAATTACTTATAAGTCGAGCTTTCCTTTACGTCATTAGCAGTACTCACTCTTTCATTGCGTTTCAAGTTCTCACGCGTTGCAACAAAAAAGAAGAAATAAACAAACGAAGAACTTACAAAACGTACTTAAAACAAAGAAATGTTAAAGGAAAAGTAACATAGTTACGACAATTTTATTGCTAAGCTAAAAAGAATGCAATATACCGCAACGGTTAAGTAGTCTTTATCTTGGATTAAAAACAATAAATTTTCAACAAGTAGGGCACTTTTGCCCCCCTGCCCACCTGCAGAAAAGGCAAGGGGGCCGTTACCCCCCTTGCCCCCCCCCAGTTCCGGCGTCCCTGATTAATGCTTCATAAACACAAATTGTATTAAGCTGTACTTAATTGGGAAAATTCACTAACTTTAATCTTTGGAAAAAGAAGATCATGAAATTTTTCTCAATAGGTGAATTTTCCAGGCACACCATGCATATATAGGCAATGGGTTAGAATCAACTAGCATGGTTTAAAATTTGAGCTTTTTTGCACCTGTTAATAGGCGTCTTTATGGGGGGTCTATACTAATAACTTTGTAAACAATTTTGAATACTAGATCTTTTTTGGAATAGCATAATTGTAAAGTAAATTTTATGTTTTTAGGCATGCTATTGAGCCTTCACATTTGGCAAAACGTTTAGTTGTTCATTTATAGTATTTCTAAACAGCGTTTAGAAAATATGTTGTTTTTACGCAAAAACGATGCTCACAAAAAAACGTTTTGCATTGCTCTAAAACAATAAAAATTGCACTTTAGAGGCATTGTATTCAAAATTTCCCAGAGGAGAATACCTCCGGAGTGCTCTAGGTGAGCAGCAACTCTAGAGTTCGATGACTGCCTATTGAAAAATCGTGCAAATTAAAACCATGTAGCCAGTACTTAAAAAAATGCATATGGGAGACACGTAGTCTCATAAAAGAGAAAATTCGTAATATATTTAAAGCATTTAAAAAAACTACTTCAGACATATACCATATCAGAAAATCATTTTTCATTTTTGGAAAATATGTGTTGCTTAGAAATTTTGGGTTTGTTTTAGCAATACTACATTCACAGCAAATAAACCTGTCACAATTAAGAAGACTGCAACGAAACTTCTTAAAGGTACAAAGAACTAGAAAAGTACAAAAACAAATCATTGATCTACTTACACAAGTTGTGAAATTGCAAACACAAATCATTAAACTTCAAAATGAAGCAAGAACTTTCGTAACGCCAAAGAAAAAAGGTAACCAAATTGCCCATTATTGTCTGTCTTAAAGTAAATGGTTTGAGCCCGGGAGTATCGTTACATGTTTGTAAATGTGGATCGTTTAGGTTGGTATAGTCCTGAGCAGGAGTGTTTTTGTTGTTGTTGACTGACGTTTCGACAACCTTGGCGCTAATTATCTTTAGAATCAAAAATCGGTAGTCATACTATACCGACCTGGACGATCTACATTTACAAACATT